TCGAGTTCGAAACAATCACTCACTCAATTATTAAAGCCTAAGGGCTATCTTACTTCGAGTTCGAGCAATCGCTCATTCGGTCATAAAAGCCTGCGGGCTAAGATACTTTGAGTTCGAGTTTGAAACAATCACTCACTCAATTTTTAAAGCCTAAGGGCTATCTTACTTCGAGTTCGAACAAGCACCTACTCGACCATTATGCCTACGGGCTACTTTACTTCGAGCTCGAAATGTTCACTCGACTACTAAGCCTATGGGCTACTTTATTTCGATTTCGAGCAAACACTCACTAGGACATAAAGGCTACGAAGGCCGAATTCAATGAAATCGCCTAAATCCTTATGAAAACATTCGCAAGGAATGAATGAAATCTTCACAAGGCAAGAAAGCAGAAGCAAGTCAGTAAAAGAAAAGGATATTAGTATAAATATACAAAAATTGCTTACATGAATAAATACAACATAGAAGCTAAGAGCTAGGCTTATAGGTTATCATCGAGAGCGGTCTCTTCTCCACTGGGCTCCCCCCCGCTATCGGACCCGCTCTTGCTACCATCATCATCGTCGTCGCCATCAGAAGCCAATGCTTCAGCATCAACTTCGAGTTCTTTGGCCCTTTTTATCTCTTCAGCAAGATCGAAACCTCGAGCGTGTATCTCCTCGAGGGTCTCCCTCCGAGATCGACACTTAGCAAGTTCGGCAACCCAATGTACTCGAGTGTCGGCAGAATCCGCTGCCTCTCTTGCCTCTATTTGAGCAGCCTCAGCATCGGCTCGATACATAGCAATAGATTTATCTGCTATGACTTTTGATGACTCAATCTCTGCCTTGGCCTCAGCAAGCCTTGTTTCAAGCTCCTCGATCCTCTTGGCCTAAGCCGAACCTTTTTGCTTGACGCTTCAAAGCTGAACATCGACCGATGATAATTTGGCCAAGATAGTTTCTTTTTCTGCAGCCAGGCGGTCGATAGTCTCCTTCCACCGATCACATTCGGCCTTGATTTGATCGACTTCTTCCTGAAGCAACCCGATCTTTTCAACCTTTTGCTGCAGCTAAGATAACGAAGGGTAAGCTTCCACAGTTGGGTCAAACCCATACTCTAATTGAACAAGGCTCACCTGTTTATCTAGTTCGGCCTCTTCTTCATGAGCCTTAGCCAAATCTGCTTGGAAGTCCCTTATAACCTCATCCTTTTGGCCGCAAAGAAGTTGCAGAGCATCTCTCTCCCCCGAGACCTTCTGAAGCTCGACCTCACACTGGCTGAGGTCGGTTCAAAACTTGCTAATGGCCTACACAGAAGGGAAAAAACACAAGTTAGGTTTAGAAAAGAACGAAGAAACTAAGCGCAGTAAAATCATTACCCGAGAAATGAAACGTTGGGCCTCTTCTAGGAGAAGAGAAACATTACTAATATCGGAGGCATCACCGACTCCAGTAAAGCAATCCCGAAAAGGATCCCCTACATTAGAGCCTCCGCCTATATCGGGGGTCTTTAATTCTCGAGCTTCCTTTAACAGCTTCTGAGAAAAGGTCAGAAGAGAAGGCGAATGACCCACTATCATGGTCCCGAGCGAATCGCTCGGGATGCTCTGATTGAGACTCGGAGTATCGGAACCGGCCCCGACCGGTGTAGCCGTCATCGGCTCAGAAGTTCTGGCGACCTCGATAGCTTTCGCGGATTGGACCACCAAAGCCAAAGCATCTTCTTCTTCTTCTCTCAGTCGTTGGACCGAGTCCATCGGAAGAGCGATTGCCTTCCTCCTCACCCTTTGAGTTTTGGGCTTGAGGTCCTCCTACCGAGAGATAGCTTTTTGCTTTTTATCTTTCCCCAGTTTCAGGACCGGGGACTTGGTTCCTTCCTCACCACTTGAAGGACTCAAAACGGCATCCTTGGTTACGCTTGTATGAAAGGAAGTCAATAACTAATGGAGCATAAAAAATGTTTCGAAAAACATGAGAAGTGACCCTTATCGTGATTCTTGGCCTCCCATCTACCCTTCGCCAAATCACGCCAAGCGCGTTCGGCATAAGAGGAAGTCGAGGCTAACTTCCGAATCCAATCCTCGAGGTAAGGTACCGCTTGTGGCATCCAAGGGAAAGCTGTATATCAGAGGGAGATATCAGATAGAATCAGAGAAAGATACAAAAAGCAAAGCTTTATGAAAATCAGTTACGGTCGAAATTCCACTCCTCAGGGAACGGCATCTTCTCTTCCGGGATAAGGTCACGGGTCCTCACGCGAATATAACGGCCCATCCAACCCCGATCCTTGTCTTCGTCGATGCTCGACATTAAGGCTTTCATTACCCGACGATGGAGCCTAATTAGTCCGCAAAAGATTTGAGGTCGATACAATCGTCTGAGCTGATTTAGAGTAAAATCTAGCCCCCCGGCCTTGTTGGAGAAGAAGCGAAGTAAGGTTACTATGCACCATAGAGAAGGATGAATTTGATCGAGGGTGACCTGATATCTTTTGCAAAAATCAATGATCACTGGGTCGACGGAACCCAACGCGAAGGGGTAAGTATAAACACTTAAAAATTCCTCCACATGAGTGATGACGCTCTCTTCGGGAGAGGGAATTTGCAACACAACCTCGGAACCCCAGTTGCAGTCTTTCCTCACAGCCTTTAGATGGCCCTCTATTATTGAGCACATGTACATCAACACATGCTCACATCGAACAAGAACCGACTAAGGATTTTCAACCTTAAAATCGATCTTTAGAGTACACGGGCCAGGAACATACTCGTGGGGAGGCGGCTCCACTGGCCCCTTGTCGCCGGATGGCCGTGAAGAGGAAGCTTTCTCCTTCTGAGGTATGATTTTTGAAGTTTTTGCCATTGATATAAGAGAAAGAAAAGCAAAGGAAGATGAAAGGTTGATGGTGCCAAACGCTGATGAAGGTGGCTCTACAAGCGGCGAAATAGAGGTAGAAAGAGTAAGAAAATTTGGGAGATTGAAGATATAAAAGTGGTAAATGATAAATGGAAGGGTTATTTATAGGTTTATACCGTGGCGGTTCAGTATCATCGGTGGCCGACCACCGTCTGACGTGCATTAAATACCTTGAAAGACTAAATCGACGGGACAACTATCACATACATCATGATCGAGCCCAGTGAAAATGTCGGCTTATAATCCGATCGAGCCGTTGAGAATTATATCGCTTCTCACCACATTCTTCCTGAGAAACGAGGGGACTATCTGTATACGGTCGAAATAGATTTCGGCCTTCGTACGTTTGATCGAGTTCGAATGGTAAGCGACCGAAGTGAGACTTCGAGAAGAGTTCCGAAGATAGTACAAACAAGATTCGAGCTCCAAGACTGATCGAGGAATCGACACGGTATGATTATCGAGCCCATGACCAAATCGAACCGCAAAGCAACGTGAAGGTTGTCGGAGACGCACAGACTTATTGACACTCACCCCAAATGTCGAACTCAAACCAAGGCCGAGGGCTCAACCCAATACCGAGCTCGAGCCAGTATCGAGCTCACAGACAAGAGCCGTTGCAACTACACTAGGGGAGAGAATCTTGGCAGGAATCGAGGAAGAGACAATTCATCATTGGTTCTCCACTATATATTTTTTATTATAAATAAAGTAAGATCCCTCTACTATAAAGGAGGGAATCCTTGTAAAAACAAGGGAGGCACACATTGTAAGAAAAGACTACTTCTCTTATTGAAGAATAAATCTCTTGAGCTTGTTTTACTCAGCATACTCACTCTTCTTGTTTAATAATTTATCTCTCATTCTATAGCCAAGAATCTAAATATTTCTACTTCTACGTACGATTTATGTCAAGTTATGTCACATATCCTTAGAACTACTTATAAATTTAACTATATCCAATTTTTCGGGTAAACATCTTGATTTTTTTACACATTAACGAACGATGATTAAATATTGAAGTGTGATTAAAATCCGTAGGACAATGTTCTGTGTTCTTACTCCTTCTAGATGAAAGCTAGCTTTCAATCATTCTTTACTAAAAACAAACAAGCGAAAGCAAATCTAAGAACCATAGGACACAATATCATTATATACCTAAACAAAAGCTGATAATTCGATACTTAACAAAACTTTAGGCCAACAAAGTGACACTAACAAAATATGCAGCAGCAAAACATTATGTGATATAATAATGCCAATATAGTCGAAGAGTGAGAATCCCATATCATCATCACTTTCTTCTTTCTCTTCTCTTCCTCAGCTGTAGGTTCTTTTGTAGATAGCTGCTACACCACCAGAAGGAGCAAACATCCTTCATGACCGTGTAAATTCAATTGTACCAAAACAAACATGCCTTAAGTATGTACCAAAGATCTACAAATGCCACTGGAATTAATCATAGAACCAGTTGATCAATCACATATTGGACTATTAATCATCCAAAATTCTAGATGAAAAGTCAAGGACACTATCCCACTCACTATATGAGTTTCCTACGCTATTTTGCACAAGTTATCCAATTGGTGAAGCTTGAGATGAAACAAAACATCACCAAAAGGTGTTGATTGCATATGCAGTTGATACATCTCCATCTTGTACTATTTGGTTGTGTATCATAAATCACAATATTGTTTAATTTTAGACTTTGAATCTGTGATATCTAATTGAAGAAAAGCAACGATTTAGACTTTAGAGCACACTTTGATGGAACTTAAAGCAACCAAAGTTAGTTAATCAAATATTTGTTTCGTCTTATTCAAATCCTATGTTGCTGCCTGCCGTAAGTTTATTTTATTTTGCTTGGTAGTAGATGAGTAGAAGTGTAGAATCCAAACTTCTAAGGATTATTTAACATAAAGAAGGATGCTCTTCTAGACTTAGTATTTAACTTGGATTTCTACTATCAAATTGTTCTTGCATTCCTGCTAGAGAGGAAGCTTTCTCATTTAATTTATTTCTTACTTCGTGACTGAGAGCATATAACATGAGGTGGAATGAACTTTATTTTACAGGAAAGTGGTCCTAATATTTGTGATTGAGATGGATAAATTTGTCATGAGGTTGGATCGTTCTCAACCAAGTCCATCCTTGAGCCAGGTGAATGCCAATCTTTCTCATCTAATAGATGAACTCAATTTGGAATCACTTGAACCCGATTCAGGTGAAATAATACCAATTGCTGACTATAACCCTTGAATACGAGATGAAGTGAGAAGACAATATATTCAAAAAGGGCTTTGTCAACCTTTCGAGCATCAATTTCCCAGAACTAAAATAGGAGGGAGAATGCGTCAATTTATTCCAAGTTGGTTCAAGGTTAATTTTCTAGATAGTTGGAATATAGAGTGAAGAAATATGCGGCATATTGCCTATGCTGTTATTTGTTCAAAAATTAATTTATTCATGGAAGCGAGGGTGAATTCTATACAAAGAATGGTTTTAGGGCTTGGAATAAGGGTTTTGAAAGATTGCGTCTATATGTTGGTGATGTTAATAGTGTCCATGATAAATATTTAAAAAATTATATTATCAATGCTTGTGCAAAAGAAACATTGAAAGTTATAATTGGAGACTTAAATGGAGATTACTTTGGTATATTGGTTGATGAATCCAAACATATCTCACACAAAGAACAAGTGGCGCTTGTTTTGCGTTACGTTGATAAGAATGGTGAAGTTGTAGAGCGATTTGTTGGTCTTGTCCATGTTAGCGATACATCGGCATCATCATTGAAGGAAGCAATATATTCTTTACTTTTAGAGCACTCACTAAGTCCATCTAAAATACGTGGACAAGGTTATGATGGGGCTAGTAATATGAGGGGAGAGATAAATGGTCTTAAGACTTTGATTATGAAAGATAGTCCATCAGCATATTACATTCATTGTTTTGCTCATCAATTGCAATTAATACTTGTAGCTATTGCTAAAAAGTATTTGGATGTTGAAGATTTCTTTTGTCATGTTACTTATATGTTGAATGTTATTGGAGGATCTTTTAAGCGTAGAGATTCGCTTCGTCTTCTTCAAGCTGAAAAGTTGGAGCAATTACTTGAGTCCGGTGAAGTTCATACTGGACAAGGATTAAATCAAGAATGGGGGCTTCAAGGACTAGATGATAATCGTTGGGGATCACATTTCAAAACATTAGATAACTTTATTGTTCTTTTCTTATCTATTGTCCGTGTGCTTGAAGTGATTAAATATGAAGGTTCTACCTCAAATGATAGAAATCAAGCTAAGTATCTTCTAAGTGAGATTAAAACATTCAAATTTATTTTTATGCTACACTTGATGTTGAAAGTGTTGGCATTGTCAAATGAGTTGAGCAAGACCTTACAAAAAAGGGATCAAGATATTATTAATGTTGTGGAGTTTCTTAACATTACAAAGAAAAGATTGCAAGATATGAGAGAAAGTGAATGCGAATCTTTGTTGGAGTGTGCTTCCTCATTTTGTGTTATGCATGATATTTTGATTCCCAAGATGAATGAGTTTTATTTTCTCGAAAAGTTAAAGCGGAATTCTTCTAGTATTTGTTATTCACACCACTTGCGTGTCCAAATATTTTGTGCTGTGATTGATGTGCAACTTCAAGAGCTTAATGACCGTTTTGATGTAGTGAGTAGTAATTTGATTCTCGGGATGGCTAGGTTAAATCCAGTCAATTCTTTTGCTAATTATGATAAAGGTAGAATAATGACTTTAGCAAAGTGTTATCCAAATGAGTTTGATGAAGTACAAATTCGGGATTTGAGTTATCAACTCGATACTTTTATAATTCATATGCGATGTGGTAATGCCAAGTTCTCCAACTTGCAAGGAATTAGTGATTTGGCAAAAGCATTGGTTGAGATAAATCTTGTGGAGACTTATTCATATATTTACTTACTTTTGAAGTTGACTCTGATTTTACCTGTTGCTACCGCAACTGTGGAGAGAGCATTTTTATCTATGAAGCAAATAAAGAATGATGAGCGGAATAGCATGGGTGATCAATATTTAAATGATTGTTTAGTTTGTTACATAGAGCGGGATGTATTTACAAATGTAAGTAATGATGTTATTATTGACCGTTTTCAGAATATGAAAATTCATTGAGGACAATTGTAAAGGAATGATGTATATTTATGATATTAGTAGTATTTTGGGAAATTTTATGCTTTGCGCCAAGTTGAAATTTTTGGACCAACTTGTCACCCGGAACCTTCGAATCCTGAATCCGCCTCTGGTGCTCGGAGTACTCCTTTAGCTAGGTCTACTGCTAGATTTCTCCTAAAACCAAAGCAAACGAGTAAATATTTATTTTGTTATATGTCTGATTATAAAAAAAGATATTAAATTTTGATAGCATTCACATAACAACCTTTGTTCAGCAGGCAACTGAGGAAGAACATTCCGAACAGCACAATCAAGGTATCCAGCAGCCTTAGGGAAAATATCAACAGAAGATCGCATGCTTTCTGTTGGATGTGAAAAGAAAAAAAAGAATAGGAGTAAGAAGTCCATTTGAAGACACAATAGAAGAGAGAGATGCCCGAAGAGAAGTTTCAGAGGCTTAAACGAGAAACAAGTGCTATGAATCCACAATAACCCATTAATTTATAGTATTTGCACATACTGAATCGGCAAAAGTAACTTAGCCCACCTTCTGATACCTTTGGCTGGTAACTATCGATAGATGTTCTGGGAAGGAGCAGTAAGTTAGCTTGCGATAACGACAGCGTTGCCATCAAGTGCAAAACAGATAAGACTTCATACCAAGCACTAAAAATTGCAGTTTCCTGAATAATTGCAAATTTATAGTGTATACGGTCAAATTCGAGTTTGCCCTCCGTGTAAATTGATCGAGATTGGAACATGATAAACCGAGGGTCGTCATTGTAACATCGGGATAAGAAGTGAAGTCAGGTTATCAAGCTAAAGGTTCAGGGACCCATCAATATTGAGCTCGAGTCAATATCGAGCTCGAATCAATATCGAGCTGTGATAGGAAGCAGTGTTATCGAGCTCAAAAGCCAGGGCTCAAGAGCCAGAGACAGATCAGTACCGAACCCAGTCAGTATCGAGCTCGAATCAATATCGAGCTCGAGATCCAGAGATCGACCGATGCCAGGACCGACCAAGATCGACCTTAGAGACAAAGAGCCGTTGCACCCGCACTTAGGAGAGAATCTCGGCAGGAAGTAAGGAAAAGTTAATTAATTAATCTATCATGTGATCTCCTCTATTTATTTTTAATAATATCCAAAGTAGGCTCTTCCCCTATATAAAGAAGTGGCTATTATTTCTATAAGGGAGGTCATGAACATCAAGAAAAGAAAACAGTGATACGCTCACAAAGATTATTATATTGATATATAGTTGAGATTATCCTTTTTTGAGTTGAGACACTTATTCATCTTGCTTGTTTATAAATTATTCTCGACTCAATTTAGTTCGTATTTCATTCCTTTATACAGTCAATATTCGATATATTTCTACTTACTTTTCCGATTTGTACCAAGTTATACTACATATCCTTAAAATTACGTATAAATTCAACTCTATCCGTTTTTTGGGTAAACATATGGAAAGACAGCTCTCCTCTTGGCCAAGATATATCGTTCGAATGCAAACGAATAGAAAAGTCTATTCTAATCTGACCTCTGCATCGTCCTCTTGATTGATCCAAATAAATTGCACTTTATGTTGTAATGGGCTCCCTTCAAATACAAACTTCTCAAAATTAAAATCAACACTGTATAAATGCTACTTCTTCAGATGGCAGCCCAAATTCATACCATCTTTAACTAGCCCCAAAAGAACAGGCAAATAATCTTCAAGAGCTTGTAATAGATTTCCTATTGTTGAACCTCCTGAAATAAACAGCTGCTGATGCATCAACATAAACCAAACCAAGACAAAAGTGATAAAAGCACGCTTCAGCTTTCTTTAGCAGGCAAATTACCATGCTGAGTAAAAGTTTTCCTTCTTGTCCTTGTAATTGTCGGAGCTTCTTGCCCTGCCATAACCACTATTCTGGTTCTCAGAGCAGAAAGGCGCTCCACTAGGCTTTTTGACAAGTGGTCACGAAGAGCCAAAGAGAAATCAACCGCCATAGGAATACGTAATCCAGGAACAAATACAGCTACCTCTCCAATATTTCCTGGGCGCCTTCTATTGCCACCACTCTCTTGTGGCGTCGACACAAAGCATCCCTTATCCTAAAATTTTTCTTCTACTGCCAGTGCTAACTATCATAAATTACTAATGATCAAATATACAATAATTATGTCTTAAAAACAAATAACATCTCTTTTGAATGTGTATCTAGGCAAAAGTTTTAATAGCTACCACAAGAAAAAATTGGAAGATTGAACTAAGAACAAGTCATAAAGTGAGAATCCCAATAAATGAGGAACCAACAAAACAGTTGGCTGCTCACGAGCACTGTACTATCCCTTAGATTGCTACTATCCTCTCAACTAACTCCTTGTGATTATGTAAATGAGGATCTGTACTGGTAATCAATAAAACAACTTACCTAGAGTTTTATAATCATCAGATTAACCAAAGGTCGAATTGTCTACTAGTTTCTTCATCATAAAGAATTGTGTTAAGGATAATAAAGAAAAAAGTGACATCACTAAATACGATTGTATACGGGTGTTTACCCGAAAAACGGATAGAGTTAAATTCGTACGTAGTTCTAAGGGTATGTGGTATAACTTGACACAAATCGTAAGAATAAATAAAAATATCGAGTGGTGACTGTAGAGAATGAAAAATAAACAAGGTCGAAAAGAAGATGATTTATGGATTAAGCAAGATGAATCAATCTATGAAGCTAAAAAGGATAACTCTTCAATATAGGAGTGTATGATATCTCAATTACTATGTATACAAAACTTGGTCCTTTACAGAAATATAGCCATCCCTTTATAGTGGGGAGATCCTACTTTAGATAAAATAAAAAATACATAGTGGGGAACCCATGATAAATCAGCTTTTCCCTAATCCCCGCCGAGATTCTCTCCCTTAGTGCGACTACAACGGCTCTTGTCTATGAGCTCGATCTTGATCGGACTCAGTATTGGTTGGTCTCCGATTTTAGAGCTCGCTGCGGATTTGAGCTTGATGCCGACTCGGGGTCCGGTAATAACTTGGGCTCGGTATTGGTTGGCCTCTGGCCCTTAAGCTCGATTCCATCACATCTCATCATAGTTCGAATTGGACCCGAGCTCGATAATGACTTCGAGCTCGATATTTGACTTGTCCCTGAAACTTGAAGCTCATTTATGCCTTCTTCGGATCCCACCTCGATAAGACGTACGAAGGCCGAAATCAGTTTCGACCATATACAGATAGTCCTCTCATTTCTCGGGAAGGATGTGGCGAGAAGCGATATGATTTCTCAACGGCTCGATCAGATATAAGCTGACGTTTACATCAGGCTCGATCATGACGCACGTGATAGCTGTCCTGTCGGTTTAGTATTTCATGGGATTTAATGTGTGTCAGACGATGGTCGGCCACTGTTGATACTGAACCGACGTTGCTTAATCTATAAATAGTCCCTTTCTTTATCATTTATCACTTTTCAGTCTCCAATCTCCAAATTTTATAAAGTTTTTTCTTGCATCTTCTAAGTTTATCTGTAAATCTGTGTTTTTTCTCTGCAAAATCTCTCTTCAAAAATACCAAATCTTTGTTACCTCCTTCTATTTCCGATCTTTAAATAAAAAGTGGCGAAAACATTAAAAATCATTCCTTAGAAAGAAAAAGCTTATTCTTCACAGCCCGCCGCCGACAAAACACAGATAGAGCCACGGCCTGAGGAGTGCATTCCTGGGGCGTGTGTTCTTACCTCTGATTTTAAGGTCGACAAAGGCTCCTCGGTTCCCGGCCGATGTGAGCCAGTATCGAGGTATATGTGTTCGATAACCGAGGGGCACCTCGAATAACTAAAGAAAGATTGCAATTCGGAGAACAAAGAAATAGTAATCCCGTCTCCTGAAGAAGATATCACCACTTACGTGAAAGAGTTTTTAAGTATGTATACTTACCCTTTCATGTTAGGTCCCCTCGACCCTATTATTATTGATTTCTGCCATCAATACCAAATAACCCTAGGCCATATCCATCCTTCTTTTTGGCGGATCGTTATTTTGATCCGTTACTTCGTGAACAAAATCGAGGGGATGCCTTTCACCCTCGACCATCTCATTCGATTGTACCGCCCTTGCCTCTTTCGAGGCGGGTTAATAAAACTTCAGCGTCGGGCTACCAAGGTTCTGTTCTCGAGCATAGACGGGGACAAAGATCGATGCTGGATGGGCAAGTTCATTCGAGTGAAGACTTCGGACCTGATTCCGACTGAAAAGATGTCCTTTCCCAAGGAATGTAACATGAAGCGTAAGTGTAATTCTGCTGTTATCTCTTACTATTTTGCCCCTTTATTTTTTTTCCCACCGATATCCCCTTTTTGTGATGCAGTGGTTCCTTGGATGCCCGGTGCAGTTCCCGACCTCAAGAACTGGGTACGGGATCTATCTTCGACCTCCACATATGCCGAGCGCTCATGGTGTGATTTGTCGAAGGGCCGATGGGAGGCCAAAAATCATGGTAATACTCTTTCTCGTATCTTTGGTAGTTCGAACGAGATGCTTTCCATATACTTAAATCAATTTTCCTGTATGTAGGTGCGGGCAAAGATGCAGTTTTGAGGCCCCCGCCCGGCGAGGAAGAGGCTTCGATCTCTGTTCCAAAACCGGTGAAGGATAATAAGAGAAAAAGGGCCTCTGCTTTTGAAGATCCAAAACCGAAGACGAGGATGGCTCGTAAGACGAGGAAGAATACCATCCATTTAACCATGGAATCAGTTCGGCGTCTAAGGGATGAAGACGAGGAAGAAGAAGAAAATGATAGGTCTGTGTTGGTGGCCCGAATGAAGAAAACCATCGATGCCCCAAAGGCAGCTGCATCAATGGTGATTTATAAAGCTCCGCCTCGGACTGGGGAGATATCGGAGGAAGGTTTGGGCAGAGTGCCCGAACCATTAGAGATCAAGGATACTTCCCACAGAAGTCAACCAACAGTGGGTATATCAGAAGAGGCCGGTCCTAAAGCTCTCCAAATTGAGGAGAACTCCCCAAGCGAGTCGCTTGGGGCAATAGTAATCGGAGACTCACCCAATCTCCCTGCCTTTTAAGAAGGGGCCATTCGGGAAGCCCAAGCTTTGGGGGCCCTCGAGATAACCGGTCTCATGAAGGGGAGGACCCCTTCTGTGATTTGTTTACTGGAGTCGAGGATGTTGTTGGCCCTAGTGATATGTCGGGCCTTTTCTGTGAAGTGCAACAAGCTCCGAATCGGGTAAGCTTTAACTCCCTTCGTTGATATTATTTTTATGTTTGCTATTCTTCCCTAACTTCTTTTCTTCTTTCTTACATAGGTCGCTGCGGTTCATCAAGAAACATGTTCTCGATCTCGAGCTGAGCTACGTTGGTACGAGGCCGACCTCCGATGGGTCACGGAGGAGAGGAATTCCCTTAGACTCCTCTTCGGGCAAAGGGAAGAAGAAATCAAAGACCTCCGAGCTGAATTGGCAAAGGCTCAACAAGATCAGACCGACCTGACCGAGCAGGTAATGGTAATCTTAAAACCCCATGGGCTCGATTCTGGAACGGTGGCTAATATTTTGATCTCACAGCTACATCAGAAGCTTGAAGTTATTAGGAAGCTTCGTGAGGAGGTCGATATAATAAGGGCGGAGACCTTGGGATGGAAAGATGGCATGGACCGTCTTGCCGCAGAAAAAGAAACTGCTCGAGCCCAATTATCATCGGCCGAAAACCAACTTCAAAGCATGAAGGAGAAAAGCTCGGTTCAAGCAAGAAGAATCAAGGAGATCGAGGCTCGGTTAGCCTCCGAACTTGCCAAAGCCAAATCTGACGCTGAAAAGGCAAAGGCCGATGCGGATGCATTCGTGGCAGTTTATCGGGCCGATGCTGAAGCTGCTTAGGTACAAGCAAGAGAGGAAGCCGAGACCGCCAATACTCGAGCACATTGGGTTGCTGAACTTGCTAAATTCCGATCTCGGAGGGAGACCCTCGAGGAGATCTATGCTTGAGGTTTTGATCTCACCGAAGAGATAAAAAGGGCTAAAGAGCTTGAAGTCGATGTTGAAGCCTTGGCTTCCGATGATGATGGTGATGATGCTGATGATGGCGATGATGGGAGCAAGAGTGGGTCCGAGAACGGGGAGGAGCCCGATGGAGAAGAGACTGCCCCCGTAGATAACCAAGGAACTTAGCCCTTAGTTTCTATTTTGGTTTTTTGTGTAGGGTCTTGTTCGAACATTGTAAACATCCTTGTATATACATAAAGATCTTTTCTTTTCCCGACTTGCCTCTGTTTTATTCTCTGCCTTGTGAAGATTTTGTTTTATTCATGCCTTATGAAGGCTTTTAGGCAATTTGATAGAATTTGGACCTTGTAGCCTTTATAACCGAGTGAGTGCTTGCTCAAACTCGAAATAAGGTAGCCCGTAGGCTTAGTAGTCGAGTGAGTGATTGCTCGAACTCGAAGTAATATAGCCCATAGGCTTATTAGTCAAGTGAGTGATTTGAACTCAAAGTAACGTAGCCCGTAGGCTTAATGGTCGGTGAGTGATTGCTCGAACTCGAACTAAGAGTAGCCCGTAGTCTTAGTAGTCGAGTAAGTGATTGCTTGAACTCGAAATAATATAGCCCGTAGGTTTATTAGTAGAGTGAGTGATTTGAACTCGAAGTAATGTAGCTCGTAGGCTTAATGGTCGAGTGAGTGATTGCTCGAACTCTTACTAAGAGTAGCCCGTAGTCTTAGTAGTCGAGTGAGTGCTTGCTCGAACTCGAAGTGAAGTAGCCCGTAGGCTTATTAGTCGAGTGAGTGATTCAAACTCGAAGTAATGTAGCCTGTAGGCTTAATGGTCGAGTGAGTGATAGCTCGAACTCGAAATGATGTAGCCCGTAGGCTTATTAGTCGAGTGAGTGATTCGAACTCGAAGTAATGTAGCCCATAGGCTTAATGGTCGAGTAAATGATTGCTCGAAATCGAAATAAGAGTAGCCCATAGGCTTAGTAGTCGAGTGAGTGATTCGAACTCGAAGTAATGTAGCCTATAGGCTTAATGATCGAGTGAGTGATTGCTCGAACTCGAAATAAGAGTACCCCGTAGGCTTATTAGTCGAGTGAGTGCTTGCTCGAACTCGAAGTGATGTAGCTCGTAGGCTAATTATTCGAGTGAGTGATTCGAACACGAAGTAATGTAGCCCGCAGGCTTAATGGTCGAGTGAGTGATTGCTCGAACTCGAAATGATGTAGCCCATAGGCTTATTAGTCGAGTGAGTGATTCGAACTCGAAGTAATGTAGCCCATAGGCTTAATGGTCGAGTAAATGATTGCTCGAAATCGAAATAAGAGTAGCCCATAGGCTTAGTAGTCGAGTGAGTGATTCGAACTCGAAGTAATGTAGCCTGTAGGCTTAATGGTCGAGTGAGTGTTCGCTCGAACTCGAAATAAGAGTACCCCGTAGGCTTATTAGTCGAGTGAGTGCTTGCTCGAACTCGAAGTGATGTAGCTCGTAGGCTAATTATCGAGTGAGTGATTCGAACACGAAGTAATGTAGCCCGCAGGCTTAATGGTCGAGTGAGTGATTGCTCGAACTCGAAGTAGTGTAGCCCGTAGGCTTAGTGGGACTTGATCTCATTGATTTTTCGGTTCGCAGTCCCCAATTTATGGGGTAATGGTCGGCCCTTAAGCCTGCTTGCAAAATAGTTTACACAATAGAGGATAGATTCTGAGATATCGGTAAGAAATTATCTTTATGTCATTATACATGTGTTTATGTTTTGTGCCAGGGATTGAGCAAACTACATGAGCATGGTTCGTTTTGACCATTTGGCTCTTACAATATTTCCTATCGAAACCCTGTTGTTATGAAGTAAATTTCTTGCATCGAACTTGATATATTTGAGGGCAATAACCCCCTAGTATTTGAGGTTGATTGTAAGGAGGCCTCGAATACTGTTGAATTGTTCTAAGTTAGCATGATCAATGGTTGCCTCATTAAAAACCTTGCCAAAAAACCCATTTGGGATAAAACCGGTCTAAGGAAAAAAGAGTGCAACACGTGCTTTTAGACCTAAGGCTTCATGTTGAATGATCCATCCTTGTTCCTGATCGAACTCCTGCAAGGGTTAATTTTAAAATATAAACGAACATGGGAGGGTCGTACCTTAGCAGTAGTATCATTTTAGGTGTGACACGTTCCAATTGCTTGGTAGTTGTTTGCCGTTCATAATACCGAGCTTGTAGGATCCTTTACTGACATTTTCGAGTACCTGATACGGTCCTTCCCAGTTTTGACCCAGTTTTCCTTCATTCGAATTTCGGGTGCTGAGGGTGACTTTCCTTAGCACTAGGTCCCCGATTTTAAAATGGTGAAGATTGGTTCTTCGATTATAGTATCTTTCGATCCGCGGCTTCTTATTTTTCATCGGACGAGAGCGGCTTCTCGTTTTTCATCCAATAATTCAAGGCTAGTATTCATAGCCTCGTGATTTGACTCTTCTATTGTGTATTGAAACCTGACACTGGATTCTCCGACTTCGACTGGAATCAAGGCTTTAGAGCAATATACTAAGGAGAATAGGGTTTCCCCTGTACTGGACTTTGATGTTGTTCGATACGCCCCAAGAACTTCGGGTAGGATTTCTCTCCATTTCCCCTTAATGTCGTTTAACCTTTTCTTTAGATTTTGAATGATAGTTTTGTTCGTCGATTCGGCATGTCCGTTCCCACTAGGGTGATACAGTGTTGATAATATCCTTTTTATCTTGTGGTCTTCGAAGAATTTCGTCACTTTGCTACCGATAAATTGTTTCCCATTGTCACACACTATTTTGGCGGGTATCCCAAATTGACATACGATATGATCCCAGATGAAGTCTATCACCTCTTTCTCTCTTACTTTATCGAATGCCTGTGCTTCAACCTATTTAGAGAAATAGTAAGTCATAAACAAAATGAACTTAGC